CTCTATTTGGTCAAGCCTACTTGAGGAAGATGGGGGTGTCCTCTTGGGGCCTAGCTCTTAAGCCCCACCCCCATTTCTATCTGCATGCCCTTCTGACATGATGCTGTGCCTCACCACAGAATAGCAGACCAAGTGACCATGGCCTGATACCTCTTAACCTTGAGCCAAAAATAAACATTTCTTCCTTTCAATTGTTCCCTCCAGGTGTTTTACCAGTGAGAGAAATGTAGTATCTTGGTGAACTAATTGCTTCCTGACGCCTGTGTCTCAGCTTCTCTTAGTCTGTTTTCTGTCGTGGATGACACAGTATTAGACTAAAGAAGTTAAAGGTCCCTTGGAGGATGAATGCCCACAGACTGGAGCTGACTCTGGTGATTGACAGCATCCCAAGGTGGTGCAGGTAACAACATTGAGATAAGGACGGGCTTATGAATGTGTCCTTTAGTCTCTCTCTTTCTAAAGTCACAGATACAATCAGGAGGGCTGTGACTGTGACCAATCTTAATCAACCCCCATAAGCTCACCCCACCAATCCAAGGTTGGAGTCCATCTCTAGTCTGTGAATACCTCACAGTGGAGGTCAAATTTCAACAAGTGTCAGAGGGGCAAACATTCAAAGGACAGCTGGGAGTGTCAGAGGCTGGGTGCTAGGACAGGGAGTCCCTCTGTGTCGGCTGGTCTTTAATGGATAGCTTGGTAACGGTCATTTGTACATGCTCAGTTTTTATTTTTCAGTGAGGGTTTCAAGACAGTGGGAGATGAGTAGAGACCTCAGTACCTCTGGAGGGTCCGGCATGGCTGTTGGGGGCTCACCCCGCCCCACCATCATGCTGAGTCTACTATGGCTGGCTTATTCCCTCAAGATGATGCTTTTAAAAGCTCCAGTAAACAGACTTTCATAACACGCACGTGGGAGTGTTTATAGGTGTGTGTGGGCGTCTGTGCACGTGACTGCGTGTGGGTAAGCCCAGTTTTTTTCTTTTTTTCAGAGTAAATATCTTGTGTAAAATGAGTCAGAAATACACAGATAATAGATTTTTAGGGTAAAATTTTGTAGATAACATTTTGGTCAGAGGTACAAAAGCTGACTGGAATATTAAAGGATAGAAATAACTCACTTCACATGACAGAGGATCAGGGTGTTTGGTTTATTTTGCTTCTTTCTCATGGCTCCAGTTTTTTTGTTCTTAATAAAAACCCCAAGTCAGATAGTAAGGGGTGAAAGCTGAGAGATCAGAGGAGCAGAGCGACCAGCCACTAGAGAGCCCTTTTACCTCTACCAATGCTTAGACCAAAGGGGCTCCTGTCCTCAGACTGCCTCCTTGGACTGCATCATCTCCAGACTGCGTCTCCAGACCACAATGAGCTGCTGTCTCCTCCTGTCCTATATTCTCCACCCAGCCATATCCCTTTCTTTCTCCACCTCCCTAATTCTGGCATTTCAGGTGTGGGACTTCCGTGTACTAGGATTAAAGGTGTGAGCCACCACCACCTGGCCGCTAGTGACTTAGCTCTGCACTCAGGCAAGCTTTATTTGTTAAAACCCAAACAAAATATCACCACACTAGTTATCTCTGTGACATCAACAAGAAAAAAATGACATTTCAAGAAACACCTGAGCAGGCTCCTCCATTTCCTCCTGCCCTCTTTTGTCATAGCCATAACTCAGAACACAGCGATTCTGTAAATTATGTCCCATAATAGTCAGCCTGAGATGGCGAGGCACCTCAGGAAGAGGAAAGGCAGAACCATCCAGAGCTGGCCTTTCTCAAGACACAGCCTGCAAAGGAGTTTTAAAATAGGATTCCCCATAATATGACAAAGCTGTTCAGAATTCACAACTGATGGATAAAGAAGTTTCCAATCAAGCCCAAGGCAGTTTCCCCAGTAGGCTCCCTGTGATTTGCCTAGCCTCTGTCCCAGGAATCTTCTAGAAGATTGGGTGCAATCTGTTTAAGCCACATGGCCGGCTCCTGAGAATGGTGTTTACCTGTTCTCAAATGGAAAGGGGCCGGAGAGAAGTCAATTAGTTTGCCTGGGTCACAGGGCTCATGGCTGGGAAAATCTGAACGGAAGCCCAGGTTTTTCCTATCAGCCAGGATGCACCCTCAACTCTAAAGCCTGCACCTCCTCACGCCGTCCAGGCGCCTTGGTGCTTCACCCTTCTTGTCTGAAGGACTAATCTTGCATACCTTGACCCTTGCCCAGCCTTCCCATTGGAAATCATCCAGAGGTGTGCTCTGCTTTGAACACAACTGGGCGTTCTCTCTCTTTGTTCTGGCTGGCCACTGCCTCCCCGACTCCGCCCCATTCCCAGGCCTTTCCTGAGAACATCCAGGTGTCAGGGCATGTGATATTTTAAAGGTTCGCTTTTTGACACTTGGCACCTTCAATTGCTGCAGGCTCAGCTAGTTGTTGACAACGGACACATCTGTATCCACTGTAGCCATTTGTAAATCAGTTCATTTGTAATCAGATTGCTGCATGGTACTCAGCTAGCTGTTGACAATGGACACATCTGTACTCACTGTAGCCATTTGTAAACCAGATCCGTGCTGGTTCTGCACTTTTGGTCTTTCTTTTTGGACTATCTTGACCAAAAGGATTCCACTGGATGATGAAGCATCAGAACTAGTATGTCTGGGCATCAAAAACATCAAAAGCATTGGAGCTTTCCTTTCTTTTCTTTTTTAATCCCCAGCCTAGGTCCAGAGCAAACAAATAAGCCCCATGGGCTATAGCTGCACCTGGAGAGGACACCACGTCGCAATAAGCCACCAAAATCGGGGCAGTTCATTACTGCAATATAATCTAGCAATAACTGCCAAGGGAATCCAAATAGGTATAAAAACTGGAAGGTCCCCAATAGGTCATGCCATGAAAGCATCTTGGTATCTGGGGTCTAAACAGACTGAAGGACATCAACTCACAGATACGGCGATCACTACCTGCCACCCACTCCTTCCAAGGACCTGCTGCTACACAGGCAAGCTCCATCCCTCAAACCTCATAATTTGTCCCCCCACACTGTGTTATGGGAGCCAGTCACCACCCCCCTTCCCGGAATGTCTCCTCCTCCCTGATGCCTGGTTTCCTGGTGAGCTAGTTAGCCCCTCTCTCTACCCTATCCCAAACTTGTCTCCAGTGGCCGTGCTGCATGGGGCTGTTTGGGATCCTGCTAGACAGGTCGCGCCCAACATCTTCAACCTTTAGGAGGTTGAGAGTTATACAACTTGGAGGTTTGTTTTAAAAACAGGAATGAACTGGGGCCTTACATTTAATCCAGCAAAGGAAGCCAGATCTCTGTGAGTTTGAGACCAGTCCAGTCTACATAGTCAGTTCCAGGTCAGCCAGAGCTACAGACTGAGACTCTGAAAAACAGCCCACCCACTCAGGAATACAAAATTGTAATCACAACATAAAGTAGAGGATCTTGAAGGATCCATGCAAGTGAGAGCGGGAAGCAGGGGCCCCATGCTCTGATCAGCTCATTTGCAGAGGGAAGCCAGAATCCTAGGTGGTGACAGACCTGTGCTGAGAGTAATCCTCAGGGGGTGACAGACCTGCGCTGAGAATAAAGGAAGTGCCTGAGTGGCTCCTTCCAAGTGACGGCAAATGTTACGAAATGAAACCCCTCATTCGCTGGGTTCTGGAAAATGGCTTACTGCAAGAGCTGTCCCTTCCCTGTGTGACCTTAATAAAAGGCAGGCCAAGGCCAGAAGTTGTGCCTGTGAATTCCTGCTCCTCACCGAGACCATAACTGCCAATAGAACAAAGCATGCATTACAGAAGCCATGGCCACACTCTCCTCTCCCTGGGGCGGAGGGGGCTCTGACTCACCCTCTATAAGAAGAGGTTGGTCACTGGTAAAACCTCTAAAGCTACACTCCAATCTTTTATGCTGAACCAGGAGCCTCACATAGACTATTCATTACCTCGCCCCTCCCATGATGTTACTAGCCCACAGTCAATCCCCTGCAACAACTCTCCCTAAGAACACCTGGCCTTAGGAAGTCCACATTTGGCTTTTGTTGGCAGGAGCCAAAGCAGACTTCTCTGAGATGTTTAAACAGACAGGGCTGTGGTTGAAGTAGGATTTGAGGTATTGAGGTTTGCTTTCTTTTTAATGATTATTTTCATCCATGAGAGAGAAAACAGAACCATGAGTGAGTCTGCATTATCTAGATTTGGGTGTCCAACCTTTTGACAGTGTGACACAACGTATTAGCCACAACACTTATCCTAGGGAATCATGAAATTACTTTTTAAAAATTACAAAAAAAAAAGCAAAAAACCCCCTCATGTTTTAAGTCATCTTATGACTTTGGGTTGAGCCATATCATACCATATCCTTGGCTGTGTGCGGCCCATGGGTGTGAATTGGACACTCCTGGCAAAGTAAAGAGTTAAACAAGTCAGAGAGGAGGAATAGAAGGGTTAGCCTTCCCCAGGCAGCCTGCAGTTGGGCGTCACCGAACTCCCAGTAGCAATGAGGGTCAAAATGGCATGGGAATAGAGGGATGAGGAAGGCAATGGAGGGGTGGGCTGCATGAGCAGGGGGCGTGCATGGCTTTGGGGGTGGGCAACAGGGCGTAGAGCACGAGATGCATCACGTGTACCAGGTGCACCGCAGAGTGAAGGGCGTGAGGTCGCTCATGTGGGACGGGGCATGGGGCGTGTCCCTTAAAAGAGGGTGCTTGGAGCTTACAAGCGAGTCGACTAGGTGGGCCAGGGACTGAGGCGTCCGGAGGTGGAGCGTGGGGACTTCCTGGGCCAGCGCGTGGGGGGCGTGTCCGTCAGGTGGGCCTGGACCCGAGGGTGTCCGGAACTGAAGCCAGGGGACCTTCTGGGCGGGGCCATCAGGGGGCGTGGCCCGGGCTCGGGGGCGTGCCCGCCCGGAACTCGGGAGAGTGGCCTATGGCTCGGGGCGTGTCCGCCCGGGCTCGGGGGCGTGCCCAAGGCTGGGGGCGTGGTTTTGGGGGCTACCCGGTGGTGCTCCGCAGACTAGCGGAAGCCTTCGGTGAAGCGTCGGCAGCTGGCGGTCGGGCTGCCGAGCCGGCGCGCGCTAAGGCTGCTGGGAGGCTGTGGAGCCCAAGCAGCGGGATGGCTTCGGCGGTGGCTTGCGGCGCCCTCCCGGGCTGGGTCTCCATGCTTGCTTGGGGCCTGGCGCTGTGGTGCCTGTGCGGGGCGGGCCCGCTGTGGAGGTGAGAGCCAGCCCGCCGGGCTGGAGGCTGGTTTCTGGATGGAGGACTCCCTTCTTCCTCTTTTTAAGACTGTCATCTGGGGGCTCCTTCCCCGCCCCCCCACGCGCTCGCACGCGCCCCTTAGTTCTCTCTGGGACGCACGGGCTAGCTCTGATCATGGCTGCTTCAATTCTGCCAGGTCAATCCCTGAACACATTCTGACTTTTCCCCTCCTCTGCGTAACAGTCGATTAGTAAAAGCTTTTGGTGTTTTTGCACCACTGGAGCGGAAAAGGTAGGGCTTCGTTGCACTCAAGAAGGTCCTGTGTTCCCAAAGAGTAACTGAAAGCCAGTTGCATTTGTTTGCTTTCATATCTATTTAAGGTAGGGCCCATTCTTCAGGCGTGGCGTGCGGTGTGTGTGTGTGCGTGCAAAAGTTAGTTCCCATCTAAGAGTGTGATCTTGGAGCCCTACTGCTAGGAGACCGACCAGCCCCGCACAGCACTGTTGGTACTTATGAGCAGCTAAGATAGAAAGTACTTGGAGCAGAGATGGTTAGCTGAGGCCTTCAGGCTGCAGTGCGCAGTTCTTCTATAACCAGCCTAATGTACGCAGCTGCCGTAAGGGTTATGCTTGGAATTTAAGCCCCAAGGCCAGGTGAATTCCTTGTATTGGTTGGGTCTCCTTTTCTATTGGATTAGGCGAGGCCTTCGATCTCTTATTAAACAGATGTACCTTATTTTATATGAAAAACACAGAGATAGTTTGGTTGAGTTTTATTCTGAGCCTGCTGTCTTACCTCACCAGCTCAGTGTGATCCTTTGCAAATAAATGGAGATGGTCAGAGCTTTAACTTAGCGTGTTTCATCTCTTCTATAGAGAAGACTTTCCTCATCTGTTTAGGCTTTTATGGCAGTTGTCAGGATCCCAGCAGAACTACCAAAGTTCTGGCCAAGGGCACACCACCAGTGACCCAATGAGTGCCTGTCGGTCCCATATCTAAAAACTCCCCCGCTGTTGCCTAAACTCTGCCTCCAACACATGAACCATCGGGGACAACCACCCTACAGCTCCACGGTCCCGCAGTTCCTCTGTCAAGTGTCTGGACTGAGAGAGCCTCAGTTCACAGGCTGGTGATAAAAGCGGTTTGGTGGGCATACTGTGGTCCAGGGAACATGTGACAAGACAGAGCACATCACATACCATACCCTAGATAACATGTAACAAGTCTGCTTACCCAGGCCAGGCTGTGGCTAGAGCCCAGGCTAGGCGCTAGGTGATTTTCGTATTCGTAGTGGTCTCTGAAGTAGCATCTTGTCACCACGGGGGTAAGGGCAGCTAAATGCCAAATAGGGTAGTGTTTGTTTGGGCATGTGAATGGAGGGGGAAAAGGTAAATCTGTGAGCCTCGGGAGCTCACAGAGACCGCGAAGGGATTAGGAGTCTGTACAATGAGCATCCTGTAAAAGGCGACTATTGCTCAGTTACTTTCCTTCAGCAGGCCTTCCTGGCTCTACCCCGGCCCACCTGGCCTCGTCCACTGTGTTGATATTCTCCATTACTCACAAATATGTGCCATGGTATACATGTTGCTCTTAGAGCATTCTTTGCCTTCCTTTGTGGCTTGTACTTCAGGAGGAAGGTGTAATGAATGGTCTGTCCGGTCTCTTTAAGAGACAAGCCATGCCCACCCCCACCCCCATCTGCTGAGGCAGGCAGATCTTCCTGTTTGCAGCCCGAGTCTCTTCCTTTTCTGTCTCCCTCTCCCCACTTCTCCCCTTCCCCCTTTCTGTCTCCCTCCCTCCCTCTCTCTCTCTGCTCTCCTCTCCTCTTCCTTTCCTCTCCATAATCCACTGAATAAATATCCAGCCTCACTCTGCATGGTGTGCCTATCCATGTCTCTGTCTCCCACCTGCTGCTGCCTCTCTCCCTGCCCAGGACCAGCTGCCTTCAGAGACCTGTGGCTTGGTCTCTTGGCATGGCGTGCCCATCTGTCTGTCTCTCCTCATGGTCTCGTGCACTGTCCCTGACTGGGACTGGCTGCTCTCGGGACCTTCTGCCCACTGCCTGCCGCCGGGGATCCTGTAGCATTTTTAATTAATCCATTTACAGTAGGGAACATTGTTCCTGGTCATGTGTCCAGTCCCATAGACTGGGCAGGTGAACCTTTGTCACTTGGACACATCCTTGAAAAATATGTTTGTCTTTTAACAGTGGCAGCCACGAGTGGAAAAAGCTAATTTTGACCCAGCACTGGCCCCCAACAGTTTGCAAGGTGAGCTCTGTTTTGGCCGGCCCTCTTGATCCAGTAGACCTGTGTGAGCAGCTTTGTGTGGACACATGCCCACCCTGTATGCCGGGTGTGTTAGATCTGCCCTGGAGTGTGTCTGGACGCCTGACAGGTGACCTGCATGTGTAGGATTCGGAGGGTGGCGGCAACAGAATCTTGAGTGGCGCAGCTTAGAACACCGGAAGTGCCTTCCCTCTCCATGCTGGGACTGGGAGCCTGCAAGGAAGGCATCAGGAGGACTCGTTCTTCCTGGGAGCGTTTGTTCCTGCCCACCTACTAGAGGTGACAGTCCTGGGTGTCCTAGACTTCTGCATGCACTACTCCAATGTCTGTCTTCTCCATGTGGTGTCTTAGTTATTATTATTTTCTTTGCCATGATAAGACATCAAGACCAAGGCTGATACACAATTAATAAAAACCCAGAGACAGAAATTGAGATTCAACCTAAAGATCAGAAAAGCAAAACAGCCAGCCACTGGCTCTTACCGCTACCTCAGTTCGAAATGACGATCCTGCCCTCAGGAATCCTCAGAATGAGACTGAGACTGAGAGCTGTCTCCTCCCATCTTATATTCCTCTCATTCCGGGATTAAGGGCATGCACCACTACCACCTGGTTTCTATGGCAAGCTAGTGTGGCTACTGGGATTAAAGGGGTGTGTCATTGCTGCCTGGTCTGTAAGGCTGGCCAGTGTGGCTGTTTTACTTTCCCAACCCCCAGACAAGCTTTATTTATTAAAATACAATTGAAATGCCACTACACAAGGCAACTTGGAGAAGCAAGAGGTTTCTTTCTTTCTTTTTTTGTTTTTTGTTTTTTTTTAGGAGCTTACATTTTCTGAGAGTTAGGGTCTGTGACCATCCTGAAGGGAAACATGGTGGCCAGGTGGCCAGCAAGCATGGTTCAGGAGCTGTAGCTGAGAGCTCACATCTTAAGATATAAACAAGATGCGGAGAGAGAGATACTAGGAATGGCATGGGCTTTTGAAATGTCAAAGCCCACCTCCAGGAATAAAGCTCCTCCAATTGGGCCACACCACACCTCCTAATCCTTCCCACAAAGTTCTACCAGTTGGGGAACTAAGCATTCAAATATGGGAGCCAATCTCATTCAAAGTACTTCACACAGCATCTCTGTCTCTCAGAACATTAATTGGAGCCTCATCTTACTTTGATTATATCTTTACAAACCCTATTTCCAAAGGTGCTTATGTTGGGGCAGAGCTATGTCTTTGGGGCACACGGCTCTGCCTTCAGTAGGCCTGTACTTAGCTTCCTCCCTCTGTGCTACTGAGCTTTATCCAGGTGCCTGCCATGGGCAGAGTATGGTTAAGGCCATTGCCCGCTGCCAACACCGTTCTACTTGGCAGGCAGCCACGACACCGTTACCCCTTGAGGTTGGCACCTCTGTCCACGTCCGTGTTTTGTCTCATGCCTTGTGTCCTCTTAGGCTGTCAGTGCTAAGACTCTTCTCTCGGAGTGTTGCCAGCTGGGGCCTTGCGCGGGCTCATCCTCACGGGTGATTTATAGAGCTGACCCTGGAGTTTGTGAACTCTGGACGCTTTTGTCGTATTGCTGACTGGGCACTAGTGTTGCTGATAGTTTTTCTGAAAACCTGTTTGAGTTTAAAAATTGGGACCTCTTACTTATGAAGCATATACAACGTATCCTGCAGCTTTGATGTAGTCTGATCTTCTGCCAGGTTGAGAGCCTTCCTGCCTTTTTGTCTCCTTGGGCACGGAGTAGTGGGGATTTTCTTTTTCACTTCCTCTGTCTTAATTTCCTGTTGACAAATGAAGTTGATATTTCAGTTATGGTTGCCAAGTCATAGCCTTGACCTGGTTCCCTGGCTCCAGTGTGGGGGTGGAGAGAAGATGTACAGGGAGCGTGGGACATGAGGGTTTTAGGTGGCGAAGACCTCATTGGCTCTTCTCAGGGCAGGGAGGGCTAGAGACCTCGGCTCCTATTGCAGGGCCCATGGAAAGGAAGGCTTGCTTCAGGGCAGGCCTAGAGGAGTTGCACCAGGCGGGTCTGGCCTGCCTGAGGAATTATGGGAGTGCTGTGCCCTGGCAGTGTTGTGAGTATGTGTGCAAGTGCCTTCCTGCCTTAAAGCTTTAGGCATTCAACTCAAAAAAGAAACTTGGTCACTATAAAATTGTCGCTGTCGAGCCGTTTATGTCTGACTGTGGCCCATGGTGATGAGGAAGCTCCTGCCTCGGTGTACCCTTCTCTAGCTACAAGTGCTGTGTCTGTCTCCCCTTCCCCCCCTGTGAGATAGACAGACTTGAATTATCCTGTCATGATCTCAAGAGGCACCACGAGACCTCAGTGTTTGCCGACTGAAGAAGAAAACCACCTCTTGTCTGAGTTTCCATCCTAGGTCAGGTTGAGGCCTGACGTGGAGCTCTGCAGGGGTCTTCAGCCCTGATTCTGCACCTTGGTCACACTGTGCCCATAGGAAATGAGCTTTCCTTAAGGAAGGACTCGGGGTGTCGGCTGAGGTTTATGTGTGGGCTGTAGCCCCATCTCTAGTCATTCAGTCATTCGGTAGCAGGCAACTCTCACTAGTGACCAGTCGCCTGAACTGGACTCTTCAGACCACTCATAGAAAGAGGCCGCATGGTGGGAAGATATCAGGATAGGAGGGGCATGGTGTCTGTCTGTAGTAGCTGGGTCCAGGTGTCATGTTTGCCTGGTTCCTGGTGCGTACGTGTGTGTGTGTGTGTGTGTGTGTGTGTGTGTGTGTGTCCTGAGTTCTGTTCCTTTTCATCCAGTCTGATAGCCCAAGTCTGTTTATTTCTATTAAAATTTATTGTGGGAAAATTTCATCCTAACTAAACCCTTTGGAGGGCCCTAAAGGTTTTTATCTTATTAAGATTTTTCATCTCTGATTTTATCTTTGTGATTGACGTTGAGGGAACGCTCCTGTTTTCACCCCCTACACTTGTGGCTTCCAGTGTCCGGTATCTTACCACGTTACTGCATTAGGGTCTGGTACCAGAGCAGGCTTGAGAGTCACAGAGCGCCAGGGTTTTCTTACATGTTTGCTCCTGCTAAGTAGATTGTTCATGGTAAATGTGCCTGTCCATACCTGTGGGTGCATGAAAAGACCGAAACTAGCTGCCCGGTTCCCTGCAGCTCCGTCATCTGAGGACTGACCTAGACTGCCCAGCCCTGGCATTTCCCATGAGTGTGTTGCTAGAGTAAACTTACACAATGCTAACCCTGGGGTTACTGTCTGTTAGTGGTGTGCCTGTGTCTAGTTGATGTGCGTTCAAAGAAAATGGAGTTGATAAATATTTACACAGCCAGTCACCTTCCTTATCTGTTTGTTTTTTCTCCAGGAAGTTGACGGCTGCAGAGATACTCTGGATTATTGGACAATACATGGACTATGGCAAGCATCTAATGTAGTAAAACCCAATGAGGTAGTCAGGAAAAGCTAGGTTGAGTCTCATCACCATAGACATGTTACTCTTGTTAGAAGTTTATTCTGTTGACCAGATTCTTACACACACACACACACTTTTATGTATGTATGAACATTTTACCTGAATGTATGTACCATGTGTGTACCCAGTACTTGGAAAGGCCAGGAATGGCATTGTCCTTGGGATTGGAGTGAGCATGCAATTATGAACTGCCATGTGGGTGCTGGGCATTGAACCCACGTTCTCTGGAAGAGAGTACTTAAGAGTTCTCTTAAGTACTGAACATCTCTCCAGCCCCCTTATTAAAGATAAACAAGGATCCTGGGTCCTTTCTTTGTTCTTGGGGCCTATTATAAATAAACATTTAAAACTAAAATGTTATCTCAGCAGATAAATAGACAAATATCTGTTTCACACACTTCACAAGCCTCCACCCCCGCCCACCATGTTTGTCTGCACTCCCTTTAGTTCTTTCTCTGTGCACACCCTTGTGGTATTGAAGTGTACATATCAGTTTGCCACCTTTAGAGTGGACATGACCCGCACACCTTAGACTCCTCTGCTAGGGACGAACTGAGGCTGCACTCTGTCCAGAGCTGCTTCCGATGTTTCCTTTACTGACAGTCCAGCCTGTTTGTCTGAAGCTGGACATGTCTGAATACGTTTGCTCCTTGTTCAGAACAAAGTCAGCTGACGGTTTGCTCAGAAGCATCCTTTGTTGATGGGCTCCGGGGAGTACAGGGTTCCTGACTAGAATTTCTCTTTCACATGTAGATTTTAAGGGAAGCGCTTTCTAGTGTTGTGACTAAGGCTTCCTCACTAAGATTAACATTTCTTTTTTTTTCTTAAAAATTTGGATTTCAAGGCCTGATAAAGCAGAAGAATGTAACCAATCCTGGCACTTTAACATAAATGAGATTCAGGTATTGATTTTTTTTATTATTATGCTTCTATTGCAAATAGAAAGTTGAACTAAATGAATTCATTCTTCATAAGTGTACCTTCAACAATCATGTTCGAATTGCAGGGTGGATTTACTAGGACTGAGCCCCCTGGGTCTCTTTAGTAATTATTGCTATATACAACAACCCCATACATGCAGAAAGATTTAAAAGTCCACCTTGCTCCTCCTTGTCGTAGGTCTGAATGGATGTTAGAAGCAGCCCAGGGGGGAACAGTGCCTGTCCTGGTAGCATGGACCCATCTGCTTACATACCAGACCTAGTTAGACCTTAGCTCTGGGGCTTCTGGGTCGGTGAGGGAAAGTGGACATTTGCTCTGTGTGGTCAGCGTGAGACATTTCCAGACAGCTGTGGCTTGGAGAGTAGGCACCTGGCACCCAAGGTGCATGGTTTCTAAGTAAGAACTCTGAGGAGGAGGACATGACAGGCCCAATAGGTGGGTTTCTCTGTGCAACAGTCTTGGCTGTCCTGGAACTTTGGCTGGTGGAACTAGACCAGGATGGCTTCGAACTCAAAGAGATCCATCTGCCTCCCGAGTGCTGAGGTAGCTGTCCTGTACTGGGTGTCTGAATAGACATACACTATAGCTATCTTCTGAATCATCACTGAGTAATTGCTGTCTGTCAGTCCGTCCTACACTTTGGGATGAGCAGTGTAAGTTTGCCAGGGGCACATAAAAACTGCACAGACAACTTCAAGCTTCCCTTGTTCCCCAGGAATCCAGATGCCAAGTCTGTGTCTGGCTAGGTCCTCCAGGAAACAGATGTTGAGGTAAAACTAGGTAGTGAGGCTCTCTGTAGCTGACAACCCAGTAGTAGCCGACTATAGCTTATTAGAAGTACATTGTTTGGGTCTGGAGGGATGGCTCAGTGGTTAAGAGCACTGGCTGCTCTTCCAGAGGGCCCAGGTTCAATTCTGAGAACCCACGTGGCAGCTCACAGCTGTCTGTAACTCCAGTTCCAGGACTTCCTGACACCCTCACCTGACACCCTCACCCAGATACACATGCAGGCAAGACACCAATGCACATAACATAATAATAGATTACATATTTTTTTAAAAAGTTAATTTTTCTTAAAACCAAAATTTTATTCAGTTTCTATAGAGATTGTAAAAAGTTGTCAGTATTCACTATATTACAAGTCAAAAATAACATCAAAGTACCATGCAAAATTTTCGATTAGCAACAGCTGAACCTTGGGTCAACCTCATTGAATATGACACTATTGCTACATAAAGCTTTTACAGGATGATGGAAAGATGCCAGGAGAAGGGAGGTTTAAGTCGTGTTAGTGAGTTAGCACTTCCTGGAAGGGAAGTCCAGAACACCAGGGTCAGGCAGCCTTTGTGCTGGGCCAGTGGGTCTGCAGTAGCCATCCATGCCTACTGCTTCTCCTCCCGAAAGTCCTGGTGTGCTTGTGTAGCACTAATGTCGGACGGAGTTGTCTCCAACAGGAAAGTGCCCTCGTTTGACTGTAAGTGACATCTAGGCTGTCCCCAGAGGTCTCACTGGGGCTGAAACCAGGCTGAGGGAAGTGGCCTGTGAGGAGGCACAAGGCAGTGACAGCAGACAGCACCGGAGGGAGGAGGTGACAGCAGACAGCAC